AAGTAAGGCGGAAATTCCAAGCCCCACTTACAAATTTCCCCAAAGTAGGGCGGATCCGGAGTCAGGGCACGCGGCCTCCGGACACGGACCGCTTCGTGGCCCAGCGCAGCGCTGGCGCACGGCACCCCTCGGCAGAAGGAGCCGCTCGCGCGGGGCAGCGGGCGGGATCCCCAGGGGCCCCACGCCGCGGAAAGAAAAAAGTGGCTGTGGAGTCCGCGGGCGCCAGGAGGAGGAGGAGGAGGAGGAGGAGGAGGAGGAGGAGGAGGAGGAGGAGGAGGAGGGGGAGGAGGAGGAGGAGTAGGAGGAGGGGGAGGAGGAGGGGGAGGAGGAGGAGGAGGAGGAGGAGGAGGAGGAGGAGGAGGAGGGGGAACAGGAGGAATAGGAGCAGGAGGACATGCGAGCGACGATCAGAAACGGGCCTTACGCAAGATGGCGCAGCGGCCCTGCGAGGCAGCTCACGCGGGCCGCCGGCGCGGCACGCTGCACTGGAGACGAGGGCGCTCACGCGCGAACTGACGCGGGCAGCTTGCGCGCCAACGTCGGCGCCGACGACCCCGTTTTTGTGCCGTCGCGCAGGTGGTCCAAGACAGGCGGACGCCGGCCGTGGCCAGCGAGGCACGGAGGCCGAGGAGGACAGAGAGCGCGAGGGGGGGGAGGGAGGCCGGAGCCCGCTCGGGCCGTGAGAGCCGGGCGCGGGGATGCCGCAGACTTGGCCGCCCGACGTGGGCACGGAAAACACTGGGGACGATGGCCCAATGGCGAACGTTGTCCAAAACGGACAGCGGCCGCTGTTAGGGGGGGGCTTTCTGTCCCCAGTGGGCAACGCCCGCGGCCTCGCCAACAGCGAGCCCTGCTCGCAATGGACAGAAACTGCTGTCGGTCTCCGCACCCCCATTCTTCCATAAGTACCCATTTCGATCGTCCCGAGTAGAAGATGTGCCACACCCGACAGACTGACTTGTTGTTTACCATCCGCGAGCCCAGAGGGAGGTCCTGGCCCCACCCTTTCGGGGGCAGTGCTCCGTCCTGGGTCCTCGGGGAGCCCACAGGTTGGCGCACGTGCCCCGCCTCGTCGTACGAACGTTGGCGCAATGCATGCTCGCGAAGCCCACGAAAGCAAAAGTGGCACGCATGCCCGGGCTCGTGCACGAGGGAGGTCGAGGGCCAGGAGAAGCGGAGCGAGGAGGGGGAAGGGGTTTTTTTGGGGATCTCCTGGTGCTCGCTCGGGGCAGGGGCAGGATGCCCCAGGGGGCGACGAGCAAACGAGCGAACGACGGCGACAAGAAAGGGCCCCGAGCTCCCAGAACACAGCTGTGCAAGACGATTCCTGTACAGTATGGGCTCGACCACAAGAAATCTTCCACAAGAAAAACAACCCTGAGACCCCATGACGTCCACTGACTTCTGGTGTGGGAACGTCACGCTGTCCATAGCAGAAGCATCGAAACACAAGAAACACAGGGCATCCTGGAGGCAAGCAGGATGTTTTACTGGCATGGGCTTCCACTGTATTCGAGGCCATCCTGGAGGAGATCGACCAAAGCAGGGGAGCTCCTTAACTACCCCCCAAAAACAAACCCAAATCTGGCCAAAACCTGAAGGCAATCCGTGAGAGCTTGGCCCTTTCGCCGAGGCCTCCTGGGGCGTCTTGGGTGCCTCTGGGGAGCCTCTTGGAGCCTCTTCGGGTCGTATTGGGGCGATCTTGAACTGACGTTGGGCCACGTGGGGCCACTTTTCTGACAAGCCAGGTGGCGGAAGATACGAACTTGCCCTAAGAACCTGATCAGGCCTGCGGCTGCAGACATGCTGTGTTACACCCCAGATTGAATGGCCCAAACGGTCGCGTCACTAAATCCAAGCCACTTGGGGCCATCCATCTTAAATAATTATTGGGCCGGCTTGGGGGGCGTGTTGGGGCCCTCCTCGAGCCTCTTGGCCTTTGGCACCCCCTTCAGGGCCCCCGGTGCGCAGACCAAGTCGAGGCCAATGAAAGATCCCCCCAGGACAAAACATTGAAAAATGACTTAGCTTTCGTTTGGGTGAACCAAAAGGGGGTCCAGCTGAAAGGGGGGGTGCAATAGATTTGGGGCAAGTGTATTGCAAATGTACTGCGCCGGAGAATTGTATTGCATTGTACTGCAAGCAATGCATTGCATGAGAAAATCCAGCAATACATCTGCGCCCCGAAATGTATTGCACGCCCCAAATGTATTGTAACCCCACAAATCTATTGCACCACCCCCTTGTCGCTGGACCCCCTTTTGGGTCAACCCGACTTCGATGCTTTTGACACCGTCTTAAACCTCCAACAGGGCTGTCTGTGGTCATCTTGGCAACAGCTTCGCGAGCTCTTCGGCTGTTTTCCTCTCTTCAGGCCATCGCGGCTGCCTTCAATCAGGGACGTCTTGGATCCATCGTGAGACATTTTGACGCTCTCTGGGGATTCCCCTGAGCTGCCCAGGCCGCCTCGGAAGCGTCGGCGGCCGCCCTCTGGAGGCTCTGGAGGGTGCCTGGAGGACTAGCCAACACGAGTGGTATTCCGATGCTGGCGAGGTGGGACGGGCCTCAGGCCCCGGAGCCCAAACTCACCCATCATACGTTTGTACGCGTACGCATGTGCACAAAAGGTGCGATCGAATACGCTGTCCACAATAACGTGTGCACCCTGCTCGCGTGTGGACGCACGCGCGAAAAACAATGCTCTACTGAGTGGAGAACCGGCTTGCCTCAGAGTTCGGGTGCACACGCGGACGCAACTGGCTTCCGCAAACAAGGCCACCCACGATATGCCGAGGTGCAGCTCAACCCGGCGACAACACTCGACTCGTCGCGACCTTCGCTGCACAATCAGCTAGGACGCGATCTGACTGATTACGGCAGGTTCGCGTCGTGTCGACCCCGGCGTTGGTTCCTGACACCGCGGGGATCGTTCAAACTTGAACGATCGGCCCTTTCAAAAAGGCCGGATCGTTCAAGGATGTGCCGATTCTGTGCCGCAAGCGCCGTTCAACCCTAAACGCCCGCGCTGGGGTCGCCGCCGGTCGACACGACGCGAACCTGCCGTATGGCTTTGTTGGGTAAGGGACTTTCATTTTCACTACTGCGCTGCGTTGGACGTCGGGTTCGTGCAAGCGTCGGGAATCGCGCGGAGGCGCTGACCTTTGAGCAGTGAGCAGGAAAAACAAAGCCTGGCCTGTCTCACAACATCCGGAAATCCACACATGGCGCAGGAGCGCATGCTTCCAAGGCCAGGGAAGATGAGAAGAATGCACGAGGACCCGCGTGAGAGAAAACGTCCAGGCCCTTTCCCTGTCCGCCCTAGGTCGGGCTGACACACTGCCGAGCGGTAGGGAGGAAAAGCGTGGCGCGGCCGTGACCCTCGCACTGTACGGAACCAATAGGAGGAGAAGAAACGCCATAAACATAAACTTTTGGCGCTCCGCGCGGATTTCTTGGATCTGGCCTGGGTCAGGGGCGGCGCCAGAGGCGCCGCCGGGGGGGCCGGCCGAAAGTTTATGTTTATGGCGTCTCTTCCCTTTGGAGCCAAGGCATGCGAGACACGGATCCCTGCTGGGCCCGAATGTCGAACGGGTGTCCCCCAGGGCCCGACACGTGAAAACCCTAGAGTTTCGGTACTTTCCTGGGGTGCTCGAAACTCTGTCTGGCGACTCAGGCCGAAATGGGTCAGAACCTCAGAACGCGAGACGCGGATCCCTGCTGGAACGGAGGCAGCGACCGCTGCCGTGGCCCTGCGCTGTGCCAAAGACCCGGGCGTGCGGGCGGGGGGCCGCTCTCGTGACGCTACGCCCGCGCGGCGATCGGGCTGCCCAGCGTGCTCGCGGCGGAGGCGCTGCGCGCGCCGCCCTCCCTCCTCGGGAAGTAAACCATGGAGGGGACAAAGGCCAGCGTACAGGCGAACAGCATGACCACGGTGACGCTCCGGGGGTTGCCAGAGGTGCCCCTGGCCCAAGGTCCGGGTAACGAGCGGTGACGGAAGCATAAAAACTCGGAGGTCGGCGCGGAGTTCTCGGATCGGTGCTGGGGCCCCCTGGCGGCGCCTCCGGCGCCGCCCCTGGCGCGCTCCGCGCGCCAGGGAGGTGGGTCTAGCGCGGATCCAAGAAATCCGCGCGGACCTCCGAGTTTGGGCATTTCTCGTTCCTCTGAAGGTGCAGCCAGGATCCCCAAGGAGGCCAACACTGGGGTGGGGTGGGGGGCAAAAGCAATGTCAACGACACGTCGCCGTGGGAACGCGTCGCAGTGGAACTGGTGAAGAAACAACACGTCTTCGGACAAAAGCGAAAAGGAGTGGCACCCGCTGACGGACTCCAAACGGCGGCGTGTCATTGAAACTCTTGTTTTTTTCCCCCACGCGACGCACGGCCTCCAGAGCACCCCTCGTGAGGCCCAGAGGGCCCCGAGGGGGCCCTGAAGCAGAGCGGCAGCTGCTGTGGACACCTTGGGCCAGGGGCGCCTTTGGCGGCCCCTGGATGGTGAAGGAGAACTCGTAGCCCCACCGGTCGGCCAGGTACCCCCCCAGGACGGCGGACGCGCTGAAGGAGAGCGTCCGCAGGGAGTTGAGCGCGGCCCACCTGCTGCGCTGGCTGGGCGGCACGCAGTCCATGGTCATCGAGTACAGCAGGGGGTCCCGCGAGTGCAGGCACGCGAAGCGCATCAGGTAGCTCCCGCACGCGACGGCGGTGCTCGGCGTGAAGATGCCGCCGCCGTAGATGCCCAGAGTGAAGACCGCGGACCCCAGGTGCATGAGCACGCACACGTTCGAGCGACCCAGACAACGGGACAGCGGCTTCGCCAGCTGGGCAAACACAGCAATCCACAGGCGGCAGACTGCATTGAGCACGCAAAATGATCCGCGATTCCGTGCCAGCGGCACGCTGGGGCGTTTCCTTGTTTTTGTCCCGCTGGGGCGTGTTAGAATCCTTGTCAATTGTCTTGTGGGGTTCTTTCGTGCTTCGTCGCCAACCCCTCGCCTCACCAGCGCGCGGGCTCCCCCCCCCCAAAAAAAACAAACACACACGCGCAGCGAAGTTGCTCTCCAGAGTCTCTGTCGACCTCAAGGCGGCTCTAGGACAGCAAAGCACACAGGCACATAACGGCAACTAGATGCCAACAAAACAATCCAAAAACGGCTCGACGAGCTCCCGAAGGCTACAAAGGACTCCCCAAACCGCTACAGGAGGCCCCAAGAGGCCTCAAGGACACACCAGAAGAGGCCGCCAGCAAGGCTTCCATACGCGAGCAAAAGCTGCAACGCAGGCTGGAGATCACAGTCGATCGCCTGGCAGAGGCTGCCGACAGCGCCCAGAAGCACCAACGCCTTGCCCAAGACGGCCGCAAGAGCGTCCCTACACAGCCCCAAAAGCGCACTCCTCGACTTCCGGACTGCCCCACGACAGCCAAGGACCGCCCTCAAACGGCCTGAAGTCGCCATCCAAAGACGGCCCGATTAGCCCTTACATGCTGACGGATCCACGAAAGGTCCCAAGGGGCCTCCAGGAGGCCTCCTCCCATCGCCTCTCCCCGCTCCACGCGCAACCAAACTCTGCGGCCCTGGGTCCTTACACTGTAAGAAGACCGACCTGGGCTCACGAGGTCCCTCGGGGCCATTTCTTGAAGCCTGGGGGGGAGCTCTCCTTTGATGAGCCTGATCATTGCCTTCTGCCCGGCACTCTGACTGGTGAGAGGGGGCTGACAGGCTTCTTTAACTTTAAAGTTGCGAGAGGCCCGAACCCTCCAACACCCACGCCTCCGACACCAAAGAGACACCCGACGCAGGGCAAAAGGGGGTTGGTGGCTGGGGTGGGAGCTCAAGCCTCCAGATGAACCCTCCTCTCTTCCCCTCGCCCCCCCCCATCTCCTCGCGCCCCTCCCCCCCCCCCGCATCCCTCCTCCCCTCGCGTCCCTCCTCCCATCCCCGTCGCGTCCTCCCCTCGCCTCCCCGTCACGCCCTCGCACTTTCAGACAAATGCAATGCGTGTCGCTTCCGATGCTTTTCGGGTTCAGATCGCCTCGGAAGGCTTCAGAGAGCGTCGAGAAGCTCCGAAGCCGACCCAAGACGGCCTCCTGGCTGCTCGAATATAGCCAGTGACCACCTTACAACGGCTGCAAGTCGCCGCATGACCATCCGAAGGCGGCCCGAAAAGCTCTCGCAGGCTTCAAGATCCCCCAGTATGCCCTAGGATGCCCCAAGATGCCTCGAGGAGACGCCCGAAGACGCTTCAAGCGAGGCCTTCACAAGAGAAAAGCGTCGAACAACTGGGTTTCAGAGGCCTCCTAGACTTTTCGTTGTCGGACCCCCTCTTGAAGGCCCCAGACAACACCCATGAACACCCAAGGTGAAACCAGACAACCGCAAGAGCCTCCCAAGACAGCCCGAAGACTAAACGAGAACCCGCCAGAAGAGCCCACCAGGCCTCTAAGACGGCCCCAATACCCAGCAAAATGTCTCCAAGAGTATCCAGTCGAGCCTCGGGCCAGCTCCGCGGAACCATCGCGCACCAGACGGGCCCGAGACTCCTAACGTGCACCCAAGAGGCCCCCGAGAGGACCCAAGAGGCCCTCAAGAGGCCCCAGGGGGGCCCTAATATGCCTGGCAATACGCATCCGACAAAGACGAGGACGAAGGAGGAGAGAGGAGGAGAAAGAGACCGCGGGCGAGGAGGGGGCGTTCGAGACCCGCGCCAGTGCTGCTGCGCTGGCATGGCGGCGAGCGTTGCCGCAGGCAGCTGGACACCGGTGTGAACTTCAGAACCTGCGTGAAATACAAACTAAAATAACGAACGGTCATGCCGTTTGCCAGTAACGTCAATATGAAAAACAGGTTCACAGAGGTTGCAACCACGAACCGGCGCCTGACAGAACAGACCACACGCTCGTCCAGCCACGCCTCGCTGAGGCGTTGCCTGGGCGAGGCTGACTCCGCGCCTTCCATTGGAAGCAAAAGCTCGTCCACGCTGGGGGTGCCCGAGATGGTCTTGCCCACGGGCTTGAGGGCAAACGCCAACAAGCACACAACAGGCAGAAGGGCCCAGCCTGGGAGCAAAATCATCTGAAAGGTTGCGGTGCTCCAGGTGTCCGAGGCGTACCCCGACAAGAGCGCGAGAAGCTGAATAGCAGGACCCGATGACATGGCGAGGGCCGAGAAAGTCTTGTAGTTGACGCCGGCCTGCGTGCGACGTTGTCGGGGAACGTTATCGGCCAGAATCGCATAAATTGTAGAAGATATGCTTTGCTGGTAGAGTGTGAAAACGATAACACCTGCGTAGAGCCACACGGTGTCCCTCTGTACCACGGCGTTCATCAACAAGGCTGCCGCGGCCGCTCCCACAAAGACTGTCAACCTGGTAAGACTGTACCGGTTCATCTTATCACCCAGCCACCCGATGGGGTACATTATCAATACGGACATCACACCCTGCACGCTGTTTACAGTTCCAACAAACAGATTGGAAGCAGGCCTTCCGTACTTCACGTCTCGAATACTGATGTTTGCGGCAATGTGCGTCTCCTGCAACGGCGGCTGCAGAGGACCAAGAAAGACTTGCGCTGCCAACCTCTCTGGGAGCTGATGGTAAGCGGTCCCAGGCACTTCGCACACTTTTGTGCCGTTCACGAACAGAACAAGCGCTCCGTTAGAAACCGTACTGTTAGGGCTCAGCTTGCCCTTTGCGTCCTGTGCGGCACAAGCCTTGATCTTCACATTACTCCACACATCAACAGGCAGCTCGCTCTGCGCACTGCACTTCTGTAGCTTGTCGTATTCCCGGACCGTCATAGTCTCGTCCTGTCCAACTGCGTCCATTGCCACCATGAGACGCGTACTGTCGTTTCCGAACATGATCATGGGCATCCGATTGCCAACCTTGCAGCAGTCTCCATTGCCAGACCCGTCAGTGATGTGCAGTATAGAAGTGCCGCATGTGTAGCTCTGCTTACAAGGCGAGCCCACTGGGTAGTACGACAAATCACGTGCAGGTTTGATGCCAAACGTAAGCTCGAATGAGCCTTGCGTGTCGACGTGAACTGGCGCCACTGGCGGCGAGCGGGCTCCAACCACTACCGGATCAGAGATCAATGTAATCTGATCCTGCGACAAATTGTAAAGAAATATGTCAAAGATGCCACCCAAACACATGGTGTACATAGTCATGTGCACAAAATTAACTGCGTACACCAAGCGAGCGTTGATCTTCCAAACTCGTCTGGACCGATCCGCTGTCTGCGCAAAGTCATCCTCCTGTACTTCCACCATGCCGACCGTGGATGCATCATCTTGTAAAGGCGCTGCAGACATGCTTGATACATGAACCAAATGAACGAGGCCCTGTTGAGCCTTCGAACCGATCTGGTTGTGGATGGCGACGAGCATCCGACACACACTCGTACACACAAGCGCACACAAGACACATTCACATAGTCACACACATACAGTCACACAACGATCACAACAATAACAATCATTTGAACACTGCTCGCTCATATCTGCTCGCGCGCCATTCAACACGCGTATCCCAAACCATGGATACCCACCCTCTCCGTCTTCGATCGATACCCTTGGGGGGTAGATCGTACCTGCAACGTGCGTTTCGTGCAGCACCTAAAGCAGGGGAGGAGAGGACGGATGGAAGGAAGGGACAAGGGGGAGAGGGGAGGACGGAGCACGAGAGAGAGTAGCAGGAGGGGGGCTAGGAGCAGAAAGCACGTGGCAGAACCAGACGGGCAGATCGGGCGGGTAGACCCTAACAGGCGGGCCCAGGCGGCCAGGTCGAGCAGGCGGGTTGGTGAAGCGTGCGTCCTGCATGAATCGCGAGGTACCTAGAGCGACAGCGCGATTCCAAAATAAATCACGTAAGGGATTCCAGTGCGAGAGCGTGATTCCTGAGTGTTGAGGGCGCGGCGCCTGAATCAATTGCGAGGAAGTCCCAAGCGACAGCGCGATTCCTGAGTGTCGGAAACGCGACGCCTGAATGAATTGAGAGGAAGTCTCAGGCGAGGGCGCGGTGCTCTGATAAGTTGCAAGGAACTCCCTAGCGAGAGCGCGATTCTTCAATACATTGCAAAACATATCAGGCGGGATACGTTGTTGCTGTTGTTGTATACAGGGGGCCAAGGGAACAATTTGAGCAGGAAGAGTTCCCCCGGTAAAAACACAGCGAGCCCCGGGAAAGGCAGTTCATTTGAAAAACACTTATGTTACGCTGATGCGTGAGTCCAGCATAAGTCGCCAGGAAGTCTTGGGCGAGAGCGCGATTCCTAAGTAAATGATGATGAGGTCCCAGGCGACAGCGCGATTCCTGAGTTGCGAAGGCGTGGCGCCTGACGAAATTGCAAGGAAGTCACAAGCGAAAGCGCGATCCTTGTACAAATTGCAGGGAAGTCCCTAGCCAGAGCGCGATTCCCCAGCAAATATCAGGTAAGTATCAGGCGGGAACCGTTGTTGTTGTAGTTCGGGAGCCAACAACGCAATTTGAGGAGGAAGACCTTTCCTGGTAAAATCCAGCTTGCGAGCCCCGGGAGGGCAATTCAATTGAAAAACAAACATGTTACCAGAGGGAGTGGATCCATGATAATTATTCTTCAGTAGTGAGTTCAACAACAACAGCAACAACAGCAGCAACAACAACAGACATGCAAGGGCACCTGGCCATCCAATGCACAGGCACACGCGCCAGCCTGCGCGTGTGCAACATAACACGTGCCCGAGCACGCAGTCACGAGTATCCTTGGTAGCCAGATACATTCGACAAAAAGCCCGACACATAGATACTCAAATGCGCAACAGGGTATAGACGAGCCCGCCGATCCAGACTCCCCCTGAAAACTCGTCGATGCAACTGGCGGCCCAGGCACGTCATGCGCAAAAAAGTTCACCGTGATGAGCGATGGGGTCTAGATACAGTCGGGCTGCTGAAATCAGGACCGCTAAATAAGGAACGAAGCCCCTCTGCGGCTTCAAAAAAGCCTGGTTGCACGAGAAGGGCTAGAGGAACAACGACGGAAGGACGTAAGGAACATCGAGCCCCTTCCGAATCCAACATGTTCCTTATTTCAGCGTCTTGGCTGCAAGGCAACCATGCGGTGTCGCGCTCATTCGCTGGCTCGCTGGCCCGTTCCCTGACTGTTTTTCTATGTATCTCGATCCCTAGGGGTCTGGATAAGATAGACATGCGGTGTCGCGCTCACTGTCTGGCTCGCCGACTCGTTTCCGGGCTGTTCTTCTATCTGACTCGATCCCTAGGGGTCTGGATAAGGCAACCCTGCTGTGCCGCGCTCATCCGCTGGCTCGCTGACTCGTTTCCTGGCTGTCCTCCTCCTCCTCCTGGTCCTCCTCCTCCTCCTCCTCCCTCCTCCTCCTCCTCCTCCTCCTCCTCCTCCTCCTCCTCCTCCTCTCCTCCTCCTCCTCCTCCTCCTCCTCCTCCTCTCTGGCTGTTCTCCGATATCTACCTCGATCCCTGGCCCCCCGTGGCCTGCCTTGCGGCCGCCCCGAGGCCACGAGGCCCCGAGGCAGTGTCTTCGCCTTTCTCCCCTGGCTCGTCCAGCGTTGCCAGGGGCCCATCGTGCTGTGTGAGCGGGCGGTCTCGACTGGGTGGCACGATTGCTCCCTCGCCCGTACCCTCGTTGCCGGCGGGGAGGAGGAGGGGGAGGAGCAGGAGGAGGAGGAGGGGGAGCAGGAGGAGGAGGAGGAGGAGGAGGAGGAGGAGGAGGAGGAGGAGGAGGGGGAGGGGAAGGAGGGAGGATGGCCAGATTGAGGAGTGCAACGGGCGACTTTTGACCAGTTGGCCGACGCTCGCAGGAACCGCGCCCAGCTCTGGCCCAGAGCAGGGGGGGGGGGCAGAGGCGAGACGAGCACTCTCGAAATAACCAGCCTCGAGCTTACCCCTTCCCTAAGACTGATAAGCCAGAAGGCGAGGACAGTATTAGGGATGCGCCCTCGGAACTTAAGGGGATCCTGGACCTCGGCACCAACTAGAAGGTGATGGCAACCGTGGGGATATGGATTTGTATGTTCCAGCTGGAAACGGGAGGGGCGGGAGGAGCAGGAGCCGGCATGAAGCAGACAGGCCTTGAGAAAAACAGGGAGGAG